TACCGGTTGAGACCTGATTTGTGACCCAGGATGTTATCTATTCTGGAGAATATTTCATGTGCACTAGAGAAGAATGTGTATTCTGTTGCTTTGGGATGGAATGTTCTGGATATCTCTGTGCAGTCAGTCTGGTCCCAGTGTGTCATTTAAAGCCTTTATACCCAGGGTGCCTGGGTGGCTCAATGGGTTAAAGCCTCTGCCTTTGGCTCAGGTCATGATCCCAGGGTCCTGGGATGGAGCCCTGTGTCACGCTCTCTGCTCAGCAAGGAGCCTGCTTCCTCCTCTCTCCCTCTGCCTACCTCTCTGCCTACTTGTGATCTCTGTCTGTCAAATAAATAAATAAAATCTTTTTAAAATAATTTAAAAAAATAAATAAAGCCTTTATATCCTTGTTGATCTTTTGCTTAGATGATCTGTCCATTTCAGTGAGTAGGGTGTTAAAGTCCCATACTATTATTGTATTATTGCCAATGTGTTTCCTTGCTTTTGTTATTAATTGGTTTATATAATTGGCTGCTCCCATGTTAAGGGCCTAGATATTTAAAACTGTTAGCTCTTCCTATTGGGTAGACCCTTTAAGTATGATAAGTCCTTCCTCATCTCTTATTATAGTCTTTGGTTTAAAATCTAATTTGTCTGATATAAGGATTGCCACCCCATCTTTCTTTTGATGTCTGTTAGCATGGTAAATGGTTTTCTACCCCCTCACCTTAACTCTGTTGGTGTCTTTGGGTCTGAAATGAGTCTCTTGAAGATAGCGTATTGATGGGTCTTGTTTTTTAATCCATTCTGATACCCTGTGTCTTTTGATTGGGGCATTTAGCCCATTTACATTCAGGGTAACTACTGAAAGATATGAATTTAGTGCCATTGTATTTCCTGTAAGGTGACTATTACTGTATATTGTCTCTGTTCCTTTCTGGTCTGTTACTTTTAAGCTCTCTCTTTGCTTAGAGGACCCTGTCAGTATTTCCTGTAGGAGTGGTTTGGTGTTTGCAAATTCTTTTAGTTTTTGTTTGTCCTGGAAGCTCTTTATCTCTCCTCCTCTTTTCCATGACAGCCTAGCTGGATATAATATTCTTGGCTACATATTCTCGTTTAGTGCTCTGAGTATATCATGCCAGTCCTTTCTGGCCTGCCAGGTCTCTGTGGATAGGTCTTCTTCCAATTTATTGTTTCTTCTGTTGTAGTTTACAGACCTCTTGTCCTGAACTGCTTTCAGGATTTTCTCTTTGTCTCTGAGACCTGTAAGTTTTACTGTTAGGTGATGAGTTATTGACCTATTTTTATTGATTTTTGAGGAGGTTCTCTATGCCTCCTGGATTTTGATGCCTGTTTCCTTCCCCAAATTAGGGTTGTTCTCTGCCATAATTTGCTCCACTATACCTTCTGCCCTCTGAGGGTCCTGAGACCACACTGTCCCAGCAAGGATTCCACCCCTGCTTAGCCAGTGGAGCAACATCCCTCAGTGGAGCAGACTTCTAACTAAAAGTTCTGATTTTGTGTTCTACTGCTCTGTCCCTTGCTGGTAGCCGGCTGATGGAGGCTCCCTCTCCCCGCATTCTGTCTTCTCAAATATCACCTTGGATTCACTTCTCCATATATCCTACCTTCCAGAAAGTGGGTGCTTTTCTGTTCATAGAGTTGCTATTCTTTTCTTCAGTCTCCTGTGGATTTCATGGGTGTTCAGAATGGTTTAATAACCATCCAGCAGAATTCCTGGGACCAAGGATGAAAATTAGGTCTCCTACTCCTCTGCCTTCTTGCTCCTCCCCTCCGATCTTGATTGTCTTTAGAGAATAATATAACATTTAACCTTACATAGTCACCTGTTTGTTAGAAAATACTATGTAGGGGGTTATATTATGGCTCAGATGTATATCTTCATTATTAGAAATCACAATTAAAATGTCCTGTGAACATTTTAAGTCAGCAGTAATATCCTTGAAATTCTTTATTTTGACTACTGTTCTGTTTTTCTGAACTACCCTTAAATTATCTGAAGTTGATTTATAAATCAAAGGACATTTGCATTTCAATTTTTAAAAATTTACTCCCCAGATCTTTTAAGTACATTTTGAAATAACTTAAAATATCACATAGTGCTGACTTCATCAATTCCACCATATCCCATCTTTAAAAAAATTGTTCTGAATATAACAAACCATAGTATATCTCATTCCAAAGCCTGTCTTGAGCAACCAAAACTTTTTCCAGCCTTATGACTTATATTTCAATGAGATGATAGGTAGTATATAATATATAAAGATATACATACTTGTGTGTATTTTATAAAAATACATATGTATTTGTGTGTATTTTATGTATATATATGCATATATATGTATATATATGCAATTATAACACATATCATGTATCATAAATCCACTATGAATATTTGGCCAAATGCAAGGAATATGTTTTCATTATGAATTAGGTTTCCTCAGTCCATTCTTACTCAGCCATGTAATACCACATAGTAATTATCTTTTATCAGGCTAAGATAAGAATGATATTTAGTAAACTAGAGCATAGCTGTGGGGAATTGCCTGAGGCATGACTTTCTAGTTTAAAATGAAGTGTACTTTTTAAAAGTTACTATATATTTTCATCAACATATAGATGAATGCTTGTGATTATTGATGTTACATACCTCTAGTTTCTAGATAAATTAGGACTGTAAACATACTATTGCTAATTAGAAGTAGAAAAAAGATAAATCAGCAAAAGTTAGACCCAGAAGTTCCCTGAGATATTGGGATCCAACGAGTTTTCACTTCAATCTGTAAATCTTGAAGCTGATGTGAATTGTGTCTTTCTTGTTCTTAGAGGAAAAGTCGAGACAGTGGATAGATAGAATGAATTCTGTTGCTATAGAGTAAACATCAAATCAATAAAAATATTGATTAAATGCCTATTCTTTACCCAACACCCATGGGTAAAAGCTCAAATTAGATCCAGAAATCAGCTTTATCATGGTCTTGAATACAGCACCGCCTAGTCTTTTCTTTTTGGTGCTTTTTGCTGCTTCTCTTTGCACAAAATGTATCATTGCTTATAGGTAAATAATTATAAAATGCATTGTCATTAGATCAAGGTTGGGGGGGTTTTATTGTGTGCTTTTTTTTTTTTCTTTCTGAAGTTTTTCCTTAAATTCCAGTTAGTTAACATATACTATAAAATTAGTTTCAGGAGTAGAATTTCATGATTCATTGCTTACATAGAACACCCAATAGAAGCAAAGTTTCCATTGAGGAAAAGAGGAGAAGGCTACTTATACTGACAGGTTGTCAAGGACTTAGTACTCTTTCTGGAAATATGAAAAATAAGGTACTTTAAAAACTAAAAAAAAAAAAAAAACAGGCATTATTTTTATAGGTTATTTTACCAAATAATTGGTTTGATCTCCTACTGTATTGGAAGAAGGAGTTGAAGTTACTAAGAGAAAAGATTCATTGAGTTATTGTAATTTTTTAAAGATATGGGAGGTACTTTATTTTATCATGTGACAGCATATAAGAGCCATATTTACAGACATCTAACTGCAGTATAGATTTGAATATGGGAGATGGCTCAGAAATTACAATACTAGTAGTTTAAGTATTGACCTTATTTGATAAAGGATAACAGTTTTGATGATTGATTTGCCAGAGTTTTAAAATATAATTTTATATAGCTCTTGTTTCCTTAAAAGAACTATTGTTTTGAACCAAATATAACAAGGTACAGTTTATTCACATAATGAAACTGCAGTTGAAAACAAGCTTAAAAATTTCCCATCTCAGTCTTTTTCTCTTCTCTGCATTACAAATGTCTCATTCCATCATCATGCTGAATTCCTCAGCATCTTCCATACCATATCCAGGGGAATCCCTGGGAAATAATGAATGTCTGTCTTCCTTCAGAAAGACACAGATAACCTGGAATTTTTCTTACCATATTCTCCAATATTCCTACAACTCACACTTTCTGCTCTTTTGAAATAATGCCTCTTTTTGGCACAGCAGGAAAAACACCACTAGGAATTATGAGCTTGGCTCTGTCTTAGAGAATAATACTAAATACATCATGAAACCTCCCTGAGCCCTCTGTTCTTAACTACCAAAAATAAGTCATATTTATTCAATCTTTTATTATTATTTGTCTTCATAGTAACCATTAGATTTAAGTAAGGCAGAATTCTATTCATTTTATGGAGTTATTGTCATTTAATCTCAAAAAGAAAAAAAAAGTTGAGCTTCCTAAAATATGTGTTAATTTTGTCTTTTTGCTTTGTAAAAGTATGGTTTACTTGCCCTTGAGCTGAGGGTTGCCAGAATCTTTTTCAGGTTAGAACATAGTGAGTAAATTGACAAGAAAAGCAATTTGTTGAAGGAATGGAGAAAATAAGGAAATATTCCTCATATTTTAACTGAAATTTATGAATTACAATAGGATTAGAATTGACAACAGGTATTTTTAATTGTGTACTGTGTGCCTATTTTTGGATTAAGATTTTACTAATTCTTATTCCTAAATAGGGTAATGTAGAACCTTAGATGGAAGTACATTAGAAGTAAAACAAATGCCTATATCTGTATATATAAAAAAATTAAAGCATAATTGTTCTACTTGTGATTGCTTATAAAGTGTTGTTCCTTATTTAAGTATCTCTTCCACTTTCTGAATATACAATAAATGCAAGACAGATTTAATATTGTGAGAGAAAACATATGATGAATTTAGTAGGAAAATACCACGTGTGTAATCCATGATTTAAGAAATGAACCAGTAGTTCAGAAGGTAGAAAGTAAATTGTGCCATAGTTTTTTGGTATGTTTAATAATTATCTGTAAGTGATTAAAATGGTGATAAAATTAGCTTACTAAAATATATTTTCTTCATGGAAAAAATTAAATATCATTCAAAATGTAAATAAAACAAATTTATATGAATTTAATGCCTTTATTTAAAGTATTCTGTAAAAATGGTGCTTGTCTTAAACTTTATTTTCATTTCAGAGTATCTGACCGTGTTCTCACAGATGATTGCATTCCATGATCCAGAGCTGAGCAATCATCTCAATGAGATTGGATTTATCCCAGATGTAAGTACTTGGGACATTAATAGAACCTAGGTAAAAAATAAAGCAAACACTGGTAACACAAAAGAGTACTGTTTTTAAAGTTGTGTTGTCATAAGAAATCCGTGTAGCTGAACAAATTTCTGTGACTAATTATAGCCTTCTTTTATAAAGTTTGTGTGATTACCTTCCATATTCTCACTTTAAGTAAAGGGAAAGTATGTTATTTTATATTTTTTGGCACTATCAAATTTTTTTGAAAAACCTGTTAGTTTGAGTGTTGTTTTAAACTGTGCTGTAAGGGTTTTCACATGGATTTTATGGTAGGCCTGCTTTTGAAGAAGTAGGAAATTTGAACTTTAGTGAATTTTTAAGTAGCTACTTCTGTGTTTTTCTTGATATATTAACCTCAGAAGCTTTGCCAGATTTTAGCTTACTTCATTAGCTTCTTAATAGTCCATATCAACCCAAAAGTCAGAGTTGACTCTTAAAGATTAGCCATGATTAGCCTGTTACTCATCTGTGGTGTGTGATATGCAGTCAAACCTCTATTAGAAGTGTTTTGGAGAATAGTATCATAGCTTTTGATTAACCTCAAAAAAACATTTTTGAGATAGAGTTCTCCTTATTCCATCTTAACTTATCTTTGTTTCCTGATCATGCCTTTCCTCTTATGTCTCATATTAAGGGACCAGTTTATTGATGGTAAGATTAGAGATGAAAAATGTTTATATTAACACTCAACTAATCTATTTGAAGTGTTAACAATAATACTTATAGTATAAATACTTGCAGAGTGCTTTGAAGTTTAAAAATGCTTTCATAAACATTATTTCACTTGAGTCTCAAAATAAACCTGCAAGGCATATGAAGCAGATAATTTCAGCATTTTTAATTGAGAAATAGTGTTTGAGAAGATAACAAAACTAATTAGTCACAGAACTAAAATTTTAACTTACATCATTTGACAACCCTCTGCCCATAGTCTAGTTCATCTTCCATTGGAGAATAGAAACTACAACATAGACACACTTACTCCTAGTTCATTGCTCTTTGTATTGTGCTATATATAACTCTGTGATGTGATCAGGCCTGTAGTAACTATCCTCAACATTTACAGTGTCATTTGCTTCTAGGCTTCTGGAAAAATACTTTTTATTTGAGTACATGATTTGTTCAGTGAAGGCTCCAAAAAGTACATATACAGATTAGGAAACAAATAAAATAAGGACAAGCTCTATAATTAAATGGAGATAAAAGACCTTGTAAAAAAATTAACCAGTATACATATTATCATATGAAGTATACATTTTTTATAACCCCACCTTTCTTGCTTCACATTATGGAAGATATAATACAAAACTACATTAATTATGATGGCAGGAGTTGAAAAAATTATAGAGGAGCTGACTGCCAAGTTGGTAATGGAATAAGATATTTGAGGGAAAAAACTACTGATAGCTAAGACATAGACTAAAAGAAGAGAGAATTATTTTCGAAGAACTCTCTTGAAAGGACCTAATTGTTCTCAGTAGTAAACAGAATATGACGTTGGGTCAGGCAATGTTGTAAATTGACAAAAAACATTTATGCAGAAAATCATGTATGGAATTACCAAGACAGCCTGACTAAAAATTTTAGACACATTCATGAATATAGATAGTATTAAGAAAGGACTCACTAAAGGAAATATATAATTTGTATTTGCTTTAGTTAATCAGAAAAATTAAACTCTGAATGAGTATGGTATAAAAGGGTGAGCAAAAAACATTGTTAAAACATAATAATGCAAACACATACTAAGTGCTTACCCAAGCACTCCTCCACCCTCTTTAAATAAACTACTCATCTAATCCTCACAAGCTTATAAATCTAATTAAACAATTACTATTAAATATTTATACATAAAATTAATTTGAAAAAGGCTAAAAGATGAATAGAAATAAAATTTTAGCTAGCAATATTATAAAAGATAAGAGCAAGTAAGAACTCAGCTTAAAAATATTGTAATGTTTTGTGTTGTATGAGGGGAAAGTAAAAATACTCATTATACTTAGGCATTAAGTCAGAGATCTTTTCAGATCTGGGATTTGTTTTCACTCTACTTAAAAGCTAATGATTGAGCCTGTTACGGTTTCATGGGCACTGGCAGAAAACCCAGGACTCCTGGGTCAGAGACAAAGGACATTATCACTCATAGCACAGCAAGCAGCAGGAGTGTTAGCATCTTTGGTTTTCTAACCATACATACATTTTCCAATATGTTTATATAAAAACAGCCTTGGAAAATATAATCCAGACCAAAGAGTAGTCAGGGTCTCCACTCACAGGAAATGTAGAAGTATAGGATGCATATTAAAATTTTAATGGTAATCATTAAGAAAAGAGAAAGAGAATGTAGAACTTCTAAATCAATGGAGGATGTGGGGATATGCAGTAAAGAAAAGTCAGCCAATCCTGTAAAAACATAAAAAGATCATAGAATGTGAGCTAATTAGATTGCCTAATAAAGGAAATTTTTAGGCATTAAAAAAAATCCATCTGTATGCTATTTATGAGATAAAAATTTAAGGATATTGGTCAAAAAAGGAGATAAAAAACTTAAGTCAGGCACATATTAACCAAAAGAAAACTAATGCAGTGATATAAACCAGTAAAACAAAAACAAAACAAAACAAAACCCACAAAACAGACCCACCCATAAATAGATTTTGGTATGTGACAGAGATGGCTCTATAAATAAATTGAAAAGAATGGGTTATTGAATAAATGGCCCTGATACAATTGGGTAACTACATGAAGGGGAGGTGGGAATCAAAGCCAAGTTCATACAGTATATAAAAGTAAGTTCTAGATCAACTAGAAGACCTAAATACAGAGTGTCATATTCATTATTTACATCTAGGAAGGAATTTTTACAGAAGTTATGGAAAGTACAAAACATGATACTTAAAAAAGAAAAAAATTAGAATTGAGGAGTGGTACAAAGAGGCCTTCCGTTCTATTGATTATGCATTATTTTGATTTCTAAAATTTCCAAAACAATTGTCACAAGGTGTTAATCTTTGTTAAGTCTGAGTGGAGAGTACACTGGAGTTTGTTAAATGTGCTACTATATAGAGTGAGTTAATAATTCAATAATTCAATACTTTATATATGCTATCTTTGATTTCTGTTGCCCTCTTTATTATGACCCCCTCCTATAATTAATGGGGCGTTTTGTGTAATTTCTTATAAAAATTCTCTAATACTGGTTTTATTATGAAGTAATATTGATTTATTTATGTACTGTGATTAATCTTATAAGATATTTATAAGTCATGTGGGATGGGGGACAGTTCCTTGTGTGATGAGAATGTCTAGCACATGGCAAATGCTGAACCTTGCTGGCCCCTATCCACTGATTGGCTGTAGTAGTCCCCTAATTATGGTGACAACTAAAGCCTGGCATGTATTTCTAAAAAGTGACTCGACATTATATTTCCAAACATCCTCTAGAGAATAGATCTTTCACTACTGAGAATCCTAGAGTAAACAAAGAAAAATGAAGGAAAGGAGAATATATTTTAACCTGGAGAAAAATTTGCTTTGTTCAACTATTCTCTTGTCTCAGCAAATAAGCAAAATGAAAGGTATTTAACAAAGTTAAAATGTTAACAGAAGATTGTTATTTTTGAAATATTTTATCTTGTTTCTTTTTGGTTTGATGTATTTTGTTGGCCTATTTCTCAAGTCTGTAGATAATTTTGAGACTATTTTTAAATTCAGTTTTGAAAACAGATTTGATATTTTTAATATGGAGATTGTTGACAGTGGATAGTGGTGGAAAGCATGTGATGAAATGGAAAATTTTTCTAACATTGTTCTTACTCTATTAATAATCACATATTTTTAGTTGCATTTAGTAGTTTGTATATGCAGTGTGTTTTTGTTTTTGTCTTTATTTTTTCCTTGAATTACTATCTTCAGTGTTCTACCTTTAAAATAATTACTTAGGTGACTATCTGCACCTCTAACAATACAGGCTAGGTTCATCAAGGGCAGGGGTGGGCACTTTTGTAATAAGATCATGAACAGAGTTTCCTACTCAGTAACTAATCCTATCAAAGTAAGCCTTCATTAATCTTGCATCATTGAAATGTAGGCTCTGGTTGCAGGGAAAGATTGTGATTTCTGGCTCCTTTCCATTTGCTGTGGGTCACAGAACTCTGAATATTGAGCACTGTCGTAGCTTGAATAGTTAGGAATACTGTGCACTGATGTGATGCTTAGATTATATATGTCACGGTAGTTATGTGATTTCCATATAAATAGGGTGAGTAATGTGTATTTGGCAAAATTGGGGCCAGGGTGATTTTTATCATTTTTGTCTTGGTGTATGTTTCTGCTTCTGAAAATATATGTGGACTTTGAAATGAGAGCATGAAAGTGTTTCTTCATTCTTAAGGAAACTACTTTCTAAAATGCTATGAATAGCATTCAGCTTGCAAATTATGAAAAGTTGTCAAGTGGCCATTAATGTTAAGGGGTGTATCTCAGTACTACATGTGCCTTTTGAACCTACTGTCACTGCTAAAGATAAAGCTAACAAATTCAGTTATAAGCAGGTATGCTGGCAAAACCATGGTCATTTAACTGCAGTCTTAATGGATGCTATCCCACTACTGATTTTCTCCTTCCTTTTCAAAATGTATATTCAGCTGAGTTTGTACTAACAGAAAGCATGAAAGGATTGTTAAAAGATATTTATATATTTATTTGCTTATTTTGTTTGTTTGTTCTTTCATTTATTCCTGGTCTTCATGTTGTTAATACTACAGAAAGAAATTTTAGATTTTAATCTAAAGAAGAGACTACTGGTAATGAGCTTTTTAGATTTTATCAAGATATGGTTATAGGATAAATTAGGAAAGTGTACCTTATTTAGGATCTCCCATTACAGGCATCCCCACTGACCTGTTCTAATCCATCTAGACAAAATGTTCTAGTCCAGCCAGACAAAATCTGGCTACTGCTATGAAGTC